AGTACATGTGGTGTTTATTTTTCCATTCTTGTGATACTTAGAAGAATGGTCTCCAGTTCCATCCAGATTAATATAAGAGGTATGAATTCACCATTTTTTTTGTGTGTGGCTCAGTAGTTCTCCATGGTATACATATACCACATTTTATTAATCCACTAATGTATTGATGGGCGCTTGGCATTTTTTTATTTCAGTTTGGACTCCCTTTAGCAGTTTTTGTAAGGCAGGTCTAGTGGTAATCACCTGCCTTAGCTTTGTTTGTCTGTGAAAGTGTATTTCTCTTTCCTTCATGTTTAAAAAACTGTTTTGCTGGATATAATATTCTTGGTTGGCAGTACTTTTTTTTTTTTTTTTCCCAACACTTTGAATATATTATCCCATTCATTTCTGACATACAATGCTTTTGCTGAAAAATATGCTGATAATCCTATGGGGATTTTCTCATGCGATAATTCGCTTTTGCAACGATCCTTTCAAGGACCTGTTTGTCTGGGAGAGTAGCTAACTCCTGGCAGGTATAGGAGCCTCTTACCTTGTTTCTGGATTTATCACAAAGAGAATTAATCTATGTATTCTTATTGATTTACCACAAAGGAAATTAGTCTGTGTATTCTTGAATAATGTCTACATTTGAGGAAGGAAAGTTCTGAGACTTTCTATTCCACCATCTTGTTCTAAACCAATTTATTCTTATTTTGTAATAAGTATAATATACTTATTATAGATACTACATTATGAATCAGTTGTTTTACATTTATTTTAGACAATGTGTCCTTTTATCTAATTATGAAAATAATTTAAACTCAATGCATGCATTTTGAGAAAACAGAAGATTATAAAATATATGTAGCTTATATTCCTGTCCAAATCTACTATTAATCTTTTCTATATTTTTTTCAGGATTTTAATATTGAAGCAAATAGCTTTTGTATATTATAAAACAAAACTGAGTACTATAGGATTAATGGAATGCTTTTACACTAGACAGTATAAAATGACGATATTGCATGTCAGTAACTGTTATAAAAACTATTAATTTTAGAGGCAGTGTAATATATTATATGGATTATCATAATTTATTTAACTATTTACCACTGATTACAATTTATGTTGCCTGAAATATCTGAAATGTATCTGAAATGCAGTTTTGTTTACTTAATACATAGATATCTGACTATTTACCTGATTATTTTCTTAGGAAAAATTCTTAGAATTAAACATATGTCCTCAATGTATATAAGTGTATCATTCTTGACATATGCTGTACATTACTTCTTATTAAAGCTCTAAGAACTCTTTTATGCTGTTTTCTTTTGTTTTTATTAGAGTGATAGAGCAGTCAAGACTCTAGTTTACAGAATGATGTATAGTATATAACAGGGGAAGTATCACACATTAATGGGAAAAGACTAGTATTTTTTAAAATAAAAAAATGTTAGGAAATAACCTATACAAATGGGGAAAATAGTCAAGTTGGATATTTAACATGACATCATGTATCAAAAATTATTTCAAATGAATTAGTCATTAAGTTAAAAATGAAATATCAATAGGAAGAAAATATGTTTGAGCAATTTATATTGAATTGTCCTATATATAAAAGTAATGGATTAAAAAGAAAAAAATAGTTATAGAATAATCAACAAGTAATATTACGAAAGAGATTTAATAAGAAAGAGTTCACAAAATTTAATAAGAAAGGCATTAAAATCCCACTTTAAGAATGGAAATATGGTTTATCATATCTCTTTAAGATTGTTTTGAAAAATATTAAAAGTAAAAATTTTTCACTTTTTTTGTCAGAAGACTATTGTGCAGAAAATTAAAAGTTGGATCAACAGTATGTGTAACAAAATGTGATTTTGTATAAATATCTTATGAATGATTGAACTAATTTGAGTTTAAATAACACACGTGTAATAAAATAAATCTCTGTTGCAAATGGTTTACCTACACCTGTTTAGATTACTTCAATATATGACAATTGTAATATCTCTTACATAAAATTTAATTATTTTGAAATTAATGAAGTAAGCCATTATTTCAAATAATAAATAAATTTAATCTTCTTGTATACTAGGTACAAATGAGTCAGTGCGTCATACCAGCCCTGTGCTTCCTTAGGCCAGTAGATTGAATATGAGCTTATTCATCTCTGAAACAATGCTCTTAAGTAATTGAACTCAAATCTCTATCACTGTAGATGGTAGATAGTGTTAAGATGAAGTAACTAATAGTGTGTCATTATTAAATGCACAATTACCATGATTAACTAGAATTTATGACTAAAATATATGATTGCTAGAACTGAAAACTTAGGAACTTTTCTTCTCAAGTATAAAAATAATTTTCTTCTATTAATTTAGCACTAGTTATAAAGCACCATTTATTGCAAATTAAGTTAGATTATCTTTTTGGTCCTTTAAAGCAGCAGTCCTCAACCTTTTTGGCACCAGGGACCGGTTTCACGGAAAACAATTTTTCCATTGTGGGCGTGGTGGTGGTGGGGAGCGCTGACGGGGTGGGGGTGGAACTCTGCCCCCTGGTGCCTGACAGGCTGCAGACCACTACCAGGGATTGGGGACCTTGGCTTTAAAGAACCCTGTGAGGTAAAGTCATTTTGCCATATTAACTATAAAGAGCACTTTGATTCAGAATTTCAGCCTGAGCACAAATACTCATTTACCCTAACATGATATCTTGTTGAAATAAAATATATGCAACTATCTAACTCCTCATTCTTCTGTATATATTTGGATTCAGCATAGTGCTAGAAAAAAAAGAAAGGGGGATATTAGTCAATCAGGAATATTTTTAGAACATGGTGATCATACAATTCCTATATTATTTGAAATGTTTTAAATATTTCTTCTTGCTTAGCATCTGGTCAATCATTTGGTAATGTCACCTAAATTCTTCTTTAGTGATCTACTCTTCCAGTACGGCAGGACATCCCCCATGGATCAAGTGCTAGATGCAAATTTGCTCAATACTACTTTTCCCTGTGGAATAAATATCCTGAGTAAATCAATTATTAGACTTGATTTACTTTGTGACACCCTAAATGTAATTGACTTTGGTTCAAATGTCAATCCTTTTCTCAAAACTTCCCCTTTTATTACATAAACAAAAATCAGTTTCCATTTTATACAATAAATCATAATTCATATAAGAAACAAAAACTATGCAAAACCATGGGAAACACCACTTAAAATAGTTTCAAAAAGTTAACTATCTAGAAATGAGCTAAACAAAAAAAGTGTCAACCCTTTATGAAGCAAACTATACAGCTTTTAGGGATGGTATAAAAAAGACTTAAAAAGTAAAAATTCAGATCAGAATATTGAAAATACATAATTCCACCTAAACTAGTGTATGAATTCAACATTATATCAATGAAAATCTTGATAGTGATATCTTAAGGGACTTGAAAAGCAAATTTTAGGTATCATTCAGGGTTCTGGCAGCAACAGACAGAAGTATATTAAATGGGAGTAATGGAAGAGAATTCACTGGAAAGACTACTCACGAAGGTGGAGGTAAGGTTAAGGGAAAGGAACAAAGGGAAGTAAAGTACCTAGGGATTAGTGATAGCAGAAAACTAGTACCATGTCTATGATGAATGGGAAAAAGGCAGGGAGAGATAATCAAAATCTGACTACACCTGTAACTGTAGACCCTTTCCTGTGACAATGGGGGTGTTTGGTACAGTTATACAGCCTCTGCCACCCTGTTGTGGTGGAATGGGGAATAAATACTTTTGAGTCCTGTTTTTTTGTAATCTCCTGCCTTTGCATCCCATTGGCTAAATTTGACAAACAAAACAAAACAAAACAAAAGATGTGGGAGAATGGTAGAATATTTGATGAAGTCAATCAAGATAGGCATTCTAGGGCAGAAAACAGAGTAGAGAAAGTTAGAGAGTAGATTTGAAGGTACAAACATAAAATGTTCAGTATCACAGTTTTATCTAGAAGAGCAAATACGTGATATGATCCAAGAAAATTTTGGTAAAACTTCATTGGAAGAGCTATCTTTCACTTATCAAAATATATTCTAATGATAAAATAAGTTAAAGAGTGTGGGGTCATAAGATCGCAGTAAAATGAGTCCATAAAGACCTTCATAGCTTTTTATCGATTTATATGTGACAGCAGTGACATTTAGAATCCATAGTGACAGGATGAGATTTTCAACAATTGTTTTGGGACTTTCAGCCATTTGAAATTAAAAATTCTTCATACATTATCCAAAATATAAATTACAAGAAATAATTAACAGCAAAAAGATCTATAAATTAATTGAATCGAAATATAGGTGAATTCTTTTAATTGTGTGTGAAAAGTCTTCTCAACACTGAATTTATGAAGAAAAGTGTACCAAGTATGACCACATACACGATAATAAAAAAATGTGCATAAATGAGTAAAGTCATTGTATAAAGTTCAGATGGGTTATGTAATTTATCTAAGGTCTCATAAGAAGTGGCAGAGAAGGGTTCAAACCAAGCCGGTATGGCCTCAAAGATCTTGCTTTTATCAATTACTGTAGTCAGCAGAGTGTTTGTACATGCTCAAGGTAGAAGCTCTGGAGAGCCAACTGTTGAATAAATATTCAGGGATTTTGTGAATTGGTTGGTAACCCATTGGCAATTTGAAATTAGCCATGGTGCAAATATTTACATCTTGGAAATCAGCAAATGCTACAGATAGAGACTTCTCCCTTACTCTCCCCACCCAGACAGTTTACTAGCACACCACTGCTTTACTGACAGTCTTGTCAATGGTTACAACGCCACATATGTTAGGTTACAGATATAAATATCGGGCATAATTTTTAAAGTCTTTATCAAGTAAGTACAGTCGATAAACTGGTACCCATTAAAGAAACTTACCATTAATAATTATTGAATTAAATATGTCAACTTTTATGGTCATAATATCTAAAATAATTTCTTATAGAAAAGAATGTGCGAAATAATGAATTCTCTTTTTTTTCAGTGATAGTGGAAAGTGGAAATATAATTTCTTTTGTGGGTTATATTAATTCTGGATATTGTAACATTTACAGAAATATTATAGGATTTGTGAAACTACAACCAAATAAAGTGGTAAGTTTTAAACTTGTGTATTCTTTTTAATCAGTTACTCTGCTCTAATGAATAAAGGATGTTGAAAATCTTTTCCTGTACTTATTGGACATTTGTTTGTATTGTTTTTTGAAATTTCTGTTTAAATGTTTGACCATTTTTTGTTGAGTTTCATTTCTTGAGCTTTAAGGTATAGGAATGTAAGACAAATTATAAGATATATTGATTTGTAAGCTATAGGTATGACCAATGAACACATTAAAATATGCTTTAAATTCTTATTCCTTAGAGAATGCAAATTAAAACCATTACAAGGTACCACTACAAGTATATCATATGGTACTTTCTGTTCATTTTCTTTCTTCCCTGTTAGTCCAAGTGTGCTTGCAATTAGGCTCAAGGCAACAAATGGTAGTTCACCAAAAAAATCCTAAGGTAAAACTATGCTTACAAAATGGTATCCTGTGTCCTTGAAAAATGGAACTAGTTCAATATTTCCTAAACATCTTCGTAGATTAAAAAATGTAACTAAGAAACAATGCTTCCAATTACTTGAGATATGCTGTAAGTTGTCAATGAATTTACTGTTTCTCTAAAATTCATACAACTTAAACACATGTGAAAGTAAATGTTTTCTATGATTTGAATAAAATTGTTAATTTATTTTAAAGACCATGGTGGTCTCAAGAGCACTGATTTATGAACAAATGAGTTTCTTATAATAATAATACATATTCTTTATATAAAAGTGGTTGTATTAAATATCAATTATCCATATTTTTTTACAGAAAAAATGTCAAAAATTTGTTTATATGGGTAAACTTCAGGAGAGAGAGTCCTTTGGTGAGATTAGTGTTCTTCTTCAAGTTCCTTTCACATGCACAGTTGTTACTGGAAAAGAGGTTGAAATGGCAATCATTGAAGATAAAGACCTACTTGGTAAATGCATAAATGTCTTTTACAACTGTTATACCATTTTATTGGATGAGTTTTTTAAAAGAGTGGAGATATTTCACAGAATAATTGGGACACTCAAGCGAATATGTGTGTGTATATGTTATTTAATTATGTTGCTGTTTGAATATATTAGCAATATTTCAAAAGACTTTCATTTGAAATTACTAAATTACTAAATTTCTCTGCCAATGTCCAAGTTACCATTAATAGCAACACTCCCTCCTTTTCTGGGACATCTTACGGTTTCATGTCTAATGTTATTTCTTTTGTGTTTTTGGTTCGAGTCATGTCAAGTATATGTTACCCTCAATGTATAATCTAGATCAACTATATATGAAAATCTATGGCTTGCAGTATTTAAACCTTTATCTGAAATTTTAGCACTCTAGTAATAATAAAAGAATAGCCATCCAGCCACTTGTATTTGGTTATCCAAATATTATAAATACTCAAATAGGAAATGTAATTGAGTATGAAGGAGAAATGAATAGAGGCTAATAAGTCAAATATAATAGGATGTTAAAGAAAAGTGTAGCTTTATGTACAATAAAACTGAGAAGGTCAAACATTGGATAAAGGATGAAAGAGGAGAAATTTGTAGAAATTAACATGCATGAGAGGTTTGCTTCAATAAACTACATTGGAAAGATTTTCATGATTATCCAAGTATGATTTGACTGAATTCTGTTTTTCTGAATTTCAATTATTTTTTATGTCTTTTAGAGAATGTATAACCTATACTTGCTTAACTCTAATTCAAAAGGAAAAGAATAACTTCACATTCATGTATCTTTTAAAGTTATAAATTTGAAATTATATTTGTTAATTCTCTTTCCTTCTGTGACATTCAAATACAAACCTCCCTCAAGGTAAATATTGCTTAAAAATAATTACTAACCACTGATTGAATTTACAATATTTTCACTTGATATAGGCCATGTTTTTCTTTTCCTATACTAATTATGTTGACTGGTACAAGGCAAATACACTGTGGACTCTTTTATGTAAATCAACATTTTATATATTGTGTTATTCAAGGTTCTCCAGAGAAACAGAACCAATAGGATATATATAAATATATAAGAGGAGATTTTTTTGTGAACATTGGCTCATGTGATTGTAGAGGCCAGGAAGTCCCATCATATGCTGTCAGCAAGCTGGAGAACCAGGAAGGCCAGTGGTGTAATTTGGGTTGTGTCTGAAAACCTGCGAACCAGGATTACCTGTGATATGATTCCCAGTCTGAGGCCAGAGTCCTGAGAACTGAGGGAGAGTGGAGAGGAGGTGCTTATGTAAGTCCTGGAGTCTGAAGACCAGAGAAGTAGGTGTGCAAATTTCCTAGGGCAGAAGAAGATGGCTCTCCCAGCTCAAGAAGAGAGAGAGAATTGACTCTTCTTCCGCCTTTTTGTTTTGTTGAGGCCCTCAATGGATTGTATGTTACCTGCCCAAATTTGTGATGGTGGATCTTCCTTGCCCAGTCTACTGATTCAAATGCTAATCTCTCTCAGAATCACCCTCACAGACACATCTGGAAATAACAGTTTACCAGCTCCCTGGACATACCTTAGCCCAGTCAAGTTGACATATAAAATTAATTGTCACACTCAAAAGTGTTTCTTTCAAGCATATATTAGAATCTTCTTTGTCATCTGGTAGCCTATAATTCAAATAGATGGTGTAATATAAGATGTCAAACTGGGCATGGTGGCTCATGCCTATAATCCCAGCAATTTGGGATATTGAAGCGGGAAGATCACTTGAGGCCATGAGTTCAAGATCAGCTTAGACAACTAAAGAGATCCTACCTCTAAAAGAATTTAAAAATTAGGTGGGTGTGGTGGCGCATACCTGCAGTCCCAGCTACGTGAGAGGCTGAGGCAGGAGGATCACTTGAGCCGAGGAGTTTGAGGCTGCAGTGAGCTATGATCGTGCTACTTCACTCTAGCCTGGGTGACAGAGTGAGATCCTGTTTCATAAATAAATGAATAAATAATTTTTGAAAAATATCATTGTTTTTGTGTGTATGTTTTTCATATTTTAAATTTTATTTGATAGTTTGTTCATTTGAGACTGATGTTATAAAGCTACTGGTGTGTGCCTAATAAAATATTCCCTAAACAGAACTGTGCTTACAAACTATATTTTGCTTGTTTTTCCACAACTTATAAGGAAGTAAAATATTGTATTAATTTCAGAAAGTATGTTTATTTCTATGTTTTAAGTATTTATATTTCATTCCAAGAGACTTAAAGGTACATTTTAAAAGCTAAATAATTCTAATGAAAAGATGAATGGTTAATTTTGCTGAAAAGATCATCTTCAAATATGAAGAATAATGATCTTTAACATGAATTTTCATATTGTTTTATTCTGCCTCCATTTATTCCACTCTTTTTATTATCTTAAATATGAATCCATCTCTATAAAATAGCATAGAGTAGGACCCAAGAGAAACTAAAATGAGCCTTAAAAATATCGAGTTGAAGACAAATGAAAATGCTATACTAGAAAAATAAACTCAAGCAAAGCCCATGATTTGTTACATTGCTATTAAGACTTATTATAAGCTATTATATTACACTGGTATTCGCAATAATTGTTTAAATTTGAGGTGCTCTATTAAAAATAAAAATAAATAAAACCACTATATTCCAACAGAATCCTCAGTCATGTGCTGGTTATGTTGCCTTCACTTTCTAATTTATCAAGGATTACTAAATACAGTAACCTTTTAGAATTGTTAATGTATTACTGGAAAACTAAACTAAAGCTTATATCTTTCCCCAAATACACAGGTCACATTTTCTATTTACTCCTATATAAATCATATAAAGATCCAGTTCCCAGTAAATGAGTCAGCAGTATTTAGTAAATATCCAAAGAGAGCAATTCACTTACTATCCCTGTACCTTGGGATGAGTAGAATAGAATCTAGAAATATAAAAGACTGTGTAAATTAACTGCTCTATGTATAGAATTATATATGCAACTATCTATATATAATCATCAGGAAAACATATGCAATAATTAGTTTTGCAGTATTTAAAAGGACTTGAGGAGTGATTTCTTTGTTCATTTACGTTGTTACCTTTGGGAAGGTAAGAAATATCTTTTTTTAAGCTATGTGCATGCTTCTGAGACATTACTCTGAGCATCTAAATAAAAGTGAGAACAGAGTTATTAAGTCTAAGCAAATATACTCTTTTTCCA